CCCCCCCCCTTCCCCAGCTTGCTATGGCATCGTCCAGGTGCCCACAGGACCCTGGTTCTGCCGGAAATGCGAATCTCAGGAGCGAGCAGCCAGGGTGGTGAGTTGGAGACTCCCCTCCCCCCTCCCACCCATACACCTGAGCATCTCCCCTGCTTACGCTAGGGAACTCCGAGCATGAGACTGGGGTGGGACTGTCACACCAGACTTCCTGTTTCCTGCACACCTATCGCCTACCCCATCTCGCCCTCAGCTCATTACTCACTCTGCCCCGCCTCAGGCAAGGGGCCCTTTATTTTTGTTTGCTTGCTTGTTTGAACTTTTTATTATGGAAAGTTTCCAACCTGTACCAAAGCAGCAGGAATAGTCTAAGGAACCCTATGTTCCCAACACCCACCGTCAACAGTTACCAGCTCATGGCCAATCCTGTTTGCTCTAGACCCCAACTCATTCCCCGCTAGACAGCTGATCATTTCCTCCCGGGGCCCTCTGAGCTTGGAGGCAGGTCAGCAGGTCCCCACCCCTTTTAAAAAGGCCCTCCTCAATCCCTGTGCCTCCTTGCATTGGCAGAGGTGTGAGCTGTGCCCACACAAAGACGGGGCATTGAAGAGGACTGACAATGGAGGTGAGCGGGGGCTCTGAGCTCCAGGGCTCATCTGCTGAGGTCAGCAAGGCCCCCTGAGCAGGGTCTGGGAAGGCAGGGGGACAGACATGTGTGTCTGTGTATGGGGGGTGCTGGATTTCCCTTTCCTGGCTGGCACTGGAATCTGATGGGAAGGCCATGTAGGAGGGGGCTGCCTGCAGTGTGGGGCTGTGAGGGTCCGGGTCTCGGACTTGCCTGAGGCCTGCCCCCCACTGCCCCAGGTTGGGCCCACGTGGTGTGTGCCCTCTACATCCCTGAGGTGCAGTTTGCCAACGTGCTCACCATGGAGCCCATCGTGCTGCAGTATGTGCCTCATGATCGCTTCAACAAGGTCAGCGGCCCCTGCCATGCCCTCCTGCTAGTCCCCTCCCTAGCTGGGTCCCTCCACCTCTCTCTTCATCCCCTGTAACTTGATTCTGTCCAACAGACACTTTCAGGGAACTCAGGAAGTGAGTAGGCACCTTTCAGTCATACTCTGGAATTCAAGCCCTGCCAGGGGGTAGACCTTAGCAAGGAGTCACGGAGCGCTGACTGGGTGTCAAATCCCGGGGAAGGTACCACCAGGCACGCAGTGTTCAGTACCGATCAAAACAGAGGCGCTCCCTCCCCCACGAAACCCACACTCTTGTGTGGGAAGACTGTAAACATCAATAAACAGGCAAATAACGTAAATGCAGTTTGTGATAAGTGCTATGAAGAAAACAAGGTACTGAAATAAAGAATACCTCATCGGGGGCTTTCTTTAATAAAGTGGTAAAGGAAAGAGACATTGAGGCTAAGACCAGGAGGCAGCCTGGCGGAGGGTGGGGGGTGTTCCGGGTTCAAGTCAGAGGCGAGAATAAGCTGCCCAGTGAGCAAGGCAGACGCAGGCCCCAAGGACTGTGCTCAGCCCCATGGCTGTGCACATTAAATTAAGTCCTATTTAAAGTTCAGGTCCTCGGCCACTTTTCAAGTGCCCATGTGGTTCATGGCTACTGTATCGGACAGTGCAGCATAGAACATTTCCATCATCACAGAAAGTTCTGCAGGATAGCACTAACCTAGGGTACCGGGGAAAGGATGGAATTGAGGGGTCCCGTAGGTGGGAGGGAGGAGGGACAAGTGCGCTGTGTCCTGCAGACATGTTATATCTGCGAGGAGCAGGGCCGAGAGAGCAAGGCGGCCTCGGGAGCCTGCATGACCTGTAACCGCCATGGATGTCGACAAGCTTTCCATGTCACCTGGTGAGACCCCTCCCTGCCCATCGCCTCCCACTCCGGGGTTCTCTGGGATCCCCGGCCAGCTGTTGCAACCCCCCTCCGAGGTTTGCCATGGATGGCCACCCAATGGGCTGGTCCTAGCTGCTGTCTCTTTGGTGATCATGGCAGTGCTTCCCTTGGATGGCCTTGGCTTTGCCCCAGTGGGGGTCCAGGAGGGTAGAAGGGCAGAGGCTGGCCTGGTTTGTGGCCACACCCTTCTCAGGCTGACCTCTCTCGGTTAGCGCCCAAATGGCAGGCCTGCTGTGTGAGGAAGAGGTGCTGGAGGTTGACAATGTCAAGTACTGCGGCTACTGCAAATACCACTTCAGCAAGATGGTGAGTCTCCTCTGCCAGGGCATGAATGGGTCAATCAGCCACGGTTTAGAGGGTGTGGGCTCTGGGCCAAGCTGGTGCCTGCTGCTGAGAAGACAGAGATGGAAGGAAGGAACCCGTCCCTGCCCTTGAGGAACTCTTCATTGAACGAAGAGTAAATTGAAGTAGAGCCTGAGGGGTGTGAATCAGAGTTAAAACCTAGCAGTCTGTCTGGAAGACAGAGCTCTCCTGTTAGTCTGGGAGGCTTCAAAGAAGAGGGAGCACAGAAGCTAAAGGAGGCGGGAACAATGAGAGCCGACATGTGGGGGTGGGGGCTTACTGCGCCCCGGCCTCTATACTAAGTTCTTTACATGTATTATTTTGTATGATCCTTCCAACGACCCTAAGAACTAGATGTACTGTATTTTCCCATTTTACAGATGAGTAAACTAAGGCCCACTGAGGTTATGTAACTTACCTTACAGCATGTATGGGGTCAAACAGACAGTCTGATTTGAAACTGGTATGGGCCATGTCCTGAGAGGAGAAAGAAGTTTGTGAGCAGCAGAACAGGGAGTTTGGTGGGGACAGAGCAGGAGATGAGGCAAAAAAAAAAAAATCTCAGGCAGGGCCAGAGCTGGGCTTCAGGGAGCCACGGAGAGGCTAGAGAAGAGGTACTATCTCATGTTTGTTGGAAAGACCTGTGTGTTCCAGAAGCTGTGGGTGTCCTGGAGAGGTAGGCTGTGGCCAGACTAGAATTGCAGCTTGGACCTCACCCCCAGGCCACAGGCTTGTCAGGCTGCTTGTAAGCGGGAGGGTAACATGATCAGATTTGTTTGTTCGGGAAGATTACCCCGGCAGGCACGGGGAAGCTGGATCCAAAGGGCTGAGGCTGGCGGCTAGGAGACAGCTGCACAAGGGGGGGATGGAGGGATGAGGCTGGGCTCTAGAACATTTCTAGGTAGACTTGCCTCTGTGTGGGGGCAGCTGAGGAGGAGGTGAGGGTGGCAGATAAGATCCAGGCCCTCAGTGCTGGGTGGATGGGCTTGAGCACCTGGGGATGTTATGAGCAGGCGTGTGTAGGGTTAGCATCTGCCCTGGTCTACCCCGGACAGTCCCGGTTTGTGCCTCTTGCCCTGGTGTGATCATTAATAGTTCCCACTTTAAATTTCAACCGTGTCCTGACTTGGATCATAAGTTACATGGTCACCTTGGTCTCAGGGTTTGATGATGACTTAGGACAAGGTAGGGAGGTCGGTTTGGTTTATAGGAGGTGCCAAGTGGGAATGTTTAGGTTTGGTGGCTGTCAGACACCCCGGGCAGGGTGGCAGTGCCAATCCCAGGTGTATAAGGCTGGGGCTGGAATCCCCAGGTGCCTATCAGGGTAGGGAGGGTCAAGGTGTGGAGGGAACCATGAATGGGAGAGTCTTAAGAGCTTGGTATGATAGTAAGGTCAGTGCCCGGGGGAGCGATTGGGTCAGACGAGGTCTGAATTAGTCCTTGGGTTTGGCAATTGGGAGGCAGTGGGTGACCTTAGAGGGAGCAGCTGCAAGTCAGGGACAGGCGCAGCCATCACACTGGGCCTGGGGCGTCTGTTAGCAGTGAAGGAAGGAAGGAGCAGGCCCTGGCTGGGGGGGAGGCAGCCTGAGGGTCATTTGGGCTTTTGCTGTGGATGCTGACTTCCCCCTTCTTCAGGGTAGCAGTTCTGGGACAGAAGGAACCACTGTGTTTGGTGGAGGAGGAAGGGCTAGGAACAAGGGAGAAGGGAGAAGGGCTGATGGCCGGGGTGAAGTGTCTGGAGGGAAGGATGGGGTGTGGAGTGTAGAGGAGCAGGGGTTCCCACAAGGGTCCCCCATACATCCTCTACCCCAGGAAAGGAGGCTGAGATGGGCCAAGAGGACACTGGAAAGAGGTGGGTGGAGAGCAAGCGCCTGGGCCCCAGTCCTACCTCCAGCATGCCTCCTGTAGCCTGGCCTCTTCTGGGCCTCCGTTGTTAGATCTGTGCACTGGACACGCTGGGGAAGCTCCAAGGCAGCGGTTCTCAACCTGTGGGTCGCGACCCCTTTGGGGGTCGAACGACCCTTTCACAGGGGTCGCCTAAGACCATCGGAAAACACATATATAATTACATATTGTTTTTGTGATTCATCACTATGCTTTAATTATGTTCAACTTGTAACAATGAAATTGGGGGTCACCACAACATGAGGAACTGTATTAAAGGGTCGCGGCATTAGGAAGATTGAGAACCACTGGTCTAAGTGCCCTTCGTTGAGCAGAGCATCGCTGAGAACACAAGGTCCTCCTAGGGACGGGCAGGCCAGGGGAAGGGGCCCCCAGGGTCACTTGACCTTCAGAAACCTTTTTCTAAGCTAATGAGAGGAGAGTTTGGCAACTCCTCTCAATTCTCTCCCCAGAAGACTTCCCGGCACACCAGTGGGGGAGGCGGAGCAGCAGCGGCAGCAGGAGGAGGCAGCGGCACAGGGGGCGGTGGCGGTGGCTTCATCGCTGGCCGGAGAAGCCGGTCAGCCTCCCCATCCACCCAGCAGGAGAAGCACCCTTCCCACCACGAAAGGGCACAGAAGAAGGTAAAAGTCTTCTCCCTCTACCTGTCCTGCCACATTCACAAACTCAGACCTCTTTCAAGAAGCCCCCACAAGGTGCCCCACGGCCAAGGAGCCTGCCCCCTTCCCTCCTCGGAGGCCACTGAGGCCAGGGAGGGGGCTGCGGAAGTGACCCGTGTGGATCACAGAGGGCGAGGTGAGGGCCTGGCTTCCCTGGGGCCCTCGTGTTTGTGTGGCTCTTCCAGTGGCCTCCCCATGACACGGCAGTGTCCCGACAGCCCCCAGTACATGGCCCTGCACACATCTCCACAGTCTGGCCTTGTGTCGGCCCAGTTTGTAAGTGTGCATGCCTGCGTCCCCTCGTGCCTCCTGTCACAGTGGGCCTGGCTCCCATCCCTCTGCACAGCTCCGTGTCCCTGGTGGACACCCTTGCAGGTGTGTGCTCCTGTGTGTGGTGCTCTGTGTCACACGTGATCATGGGACAGGCTATTTTTAGCAGGCAGAATGGACGAGGGGCTGTTGGCTCTCAGAGGAACCTGCCTGAGCCACTCCTGTCCAGCCAAAGTCCCCCAGTCCCACCAGAGGGGGAGCTGACATCCACAAAGCCCATCCCGGGGAGGGGTCCACTGTCCACATGCACATGTCATCTTCACCCCAAATGCCCCCCAACACCAATATCTGCTCACCCGTCCTTCCCCAGAGTCGGAAGGACAAGGAACGCCTTAAACAGAAGCACAAGAAGCGGCCTGACTCACCCTCCAGCATCCTCACCCCACCCGTGGTCCCCACTGCTGACAAGGTACTGCTGCCCACAGCCCAGAGGGATGGCCACAGCAGCGGGAGGGAGGCAGGGTGTGAGGGGTCAGGGTGAGCCAGGGACCTGGGCACCCCCACAGCTTCAGGTTAATGTGCCTCTGCTCCCCACTTCAACCCCCTCTACTCCTCAGCCCCACCAACCATTTACCATCAGGAGGGTAGGGGTGGGTGGGGAGCACCACCCCTACCTGCTGGCTGCCAGATGTTCACATCTGCCTCTGTCCAGACACTGAGCCTCAGCACTGGGCTCTTGTCTGTGGATACACACTCGGTTTTCCAATTCTCCCAGCTCTGGAGCCTGTTCTCCAGAGATAGGTAGAGAGGACCCCATCTCTCTCAGCCCCCTCCCCCTGCACCTCTTCTCCCTGTCGGGAAGACGCCCACAGCCTGTGACCTGACCAAAATCCTATTCTGTGCATGCTGCGGGAGGGACTGAAAGTGTAGCCCCTGGCAGGTCCCTGACAACACCCCGAAACCCCACCCCCCTCATCTCACCTTCCAGGGCGGGGCATGGTATGTCAGGCCTGTCTCCAGAAACGTGCATCATCAGGATAAGCAAATAGCAGGCCCTTCCCCGAGGCCAGGGCGTCCCTAATCCAAGCCAGAGCAGCCCTCTCTGCCCCTCCTGCCAGCCTGCCCTCCCCAGGGAAGGTGAAAGGGGCCTGGAGAAACTGCTTCCTCCTGTGGCCAGTATTGCTCCATCCACTCCCACTGCCTGAGGAGGTTGGCAGAGCTCTGGGCATCTTATTAGCAGGAGGCTCAGGTATCAGGTTTCTAGGGGGATGTTGCTGTGGCAACTACCCCAGTAACCCTCTCCCTGCCCTGCTTTCCAGGACTCACCTGGAACAGCTTGTCGTCTCTGCCCTGTGCCCTTTTCCCTGGGGCCTGCAGACCTGGGAGTAGCCCCCAGTGGCTGGGTAGTTCCTTGGACATGGGACTACCCTCTGCTCATCCCCTCCACCCGCCCCAGCATTGCCGCTGCCCCTCCCCCCACCCCCTCGCCTCCCTTGCTCTCAGAACCACATCTGGCTCCCTTCAGAACTCCAGCTGTTGAAAAGAACAAAGAAGAAGAGACAAGGGCTCCCCCCAGGGAGGGCAGCACAGGGTGGCTCTCGTTCCCCCATCCATCCTCCCTCTGGCATTTGTTGGTTTAGCAGAGGTTTGCGAATATCTGGTCTCCACCAGGAGAAACGCCATCCCTGGCAGTAACACGACGCTCTAACTCAGCCCCCACGTGCCAGCCTCTCTCCGAGAACGGGGATCTGCAGGGTGTACAGGGATTCGCTTGTTTAATCCTCAAAATAGTCTAATTTTATTAACCCCATTTCATAAATGGAGAAACTGAGGTACAGAGAGGTTAAGTAATTTGCCTCAAAGTGCACAGCTAGGTAGTGGTGGAGTCAAGATTTGAACGCATGCAGTCTGACTTGAAGGCCTGTACTCTTAACCACCACAGTGAGTCTCTGCAGTATATTCCTAGCAGCCACAGCCATCACAATCATCATTATTGACCCCGCAGTATGTACTAGTATCTGGCATTATGTTCCTCATAACTCTCCAAACAGGCATAATTAGCCCCATAAGGACACTGAAGCTCAGAGAGGTGGAGAGACCATGCAACATAAACACGGCAGTCAATGCAGGGCCCATCCTCCTCCCACCCCTGCCCTGCCACCCTCAGAGAGGTTACAGGGGGTGGGGAGGGACAGAAATGGGGATAGTGTATTTCACTATAGGGTGGCAACTGTTGGCGTGGCTGCCGTGGGTACACAGTGCCCTGGAAATAAGAGGCCGGCGTGGCTTATTCCACCCCAGGAGTCCAGGGTGGCTTCATGGAAGAGTAGACTTCCAAGCTGGATTTTGAAGGAGGAGAAGTTTTCCAGGAGGAGTAATAGGCTCTCCTGGCAGAGGGCTCCGCACTGTAAGCTCAGGTTGTCTAGGAAAGGCACAGAGTGGCCAGGGAGTAGGGTGTCAGCCAGGTGGCGGCAGCTTGGGGAGACCAAGGAGGGAATGGTGGTGACTGGAGGGCCCACAGATGCGGCCGGGCCCTCACCGCTTCCCAACACAAGTCCAGCAAGTATTTCTTGAATGAATGAATGAATGAGCGAACGAATGAGTATATTAGTACAGACTCAGACTGTTTTCATCTCCTACCTGAGGTGAAGGACAGACAGCTTCTTGGGTTCAGAACGCTCAGCTCTCCTCACACCCAGAAGTTCCACTGCTGCTTCCCCATCTTCCTGGTCTAGGGACTCCCGGCACCATCTCTCTACCCGGAATCCTTCTTGAAGCTAATTCTGGACTCTTCCACTAAAGCCCAGGTTCTGCGTGCTCCTGCTCCACTCCCAAGTCAGGGTAAACCCAGGCCCAGGCAGTTGGTCTCAAGCCTTCCTCTCTCCTCCCTTCTTTAGGCCTCCTCCTCAGCTTCCTCCTCCTCCCACCATGAGGCCAGCACTCAGGAGACCTCTGAGAGCAACAGGGACTCAAAGGGGAAAAAGTCTTCCAGCCATAGCCTGAGTCACAAGGGGAAGAAGCTGAGCAGTGGGAAAGGTGTGAGCAGTTTCACCTCCGCCTCCTCCTCCTCTTCCTCCTCCTCTTCTTCCTCCTCTGGGGGGCCCTTCCAGCCTGCAGGTGAGTGTGGGCAGGTGAGCCTCCTGGAGGAGGCTGGGAATGGGACAGCCTTTGGCCCTGAGCTTCTCTAGCAAGGGCCTTTGCATATTAGTTTGCATCTCATTTTTTTGTGTTTTTTTAATCCTCACCCGAGGACATTTTTCCCATTGATTTTTAGAGAGAGTGGAAGGGAGGGGGAGAGACAGAGAGAGAGAAACATCAATGTGAGAGAGACACATGGATTGGTTGCCTCCCGCACGGACCCCCCACCACCGGCGCTGGGGATCAAGCTGCAACTGAGGCACATGCCTGGAATCGAACCCGGACCCTTTAGTCCATACTCTGACACTCTATCCACTGACCCAAACTGGCTAGGGCTCTCATTTGCTTCTTAAATTGGTTCAGGTTAAAGATGGGGGATCCCCACCAAATTATACTTCTCCAAACCCTTCCCTCAACCCTTCCCTTTTGAGCTGGAACTCTCCTCTCCTCCCACTTTATGGTAAGTGGGGGAGGGAGGGCACTCATCCTGGACACAGACATAGTGGCAGAGCTGGGACAGGACACCCGGCTTCCCCATCCCCTGACCAGAGCTCTCCCACTAGTGCATATTGGGAGTGGGAGGGAGTGAGGGATCTGGGATGCAGCTGTAATTCTGTTTTCCTTCTGTGCAGTTTCGTCCCTGCAGAGCTCCCCTGACTTCTCCGCCTTCCCCAAGCTGGAGCAGCCAGAGGAGGACAAGTACTCCAAGCCCGCAGCCTCCACCCCTTCAGCTCCCCCCTCTCCCTCAGCTCCCGAGCCCCCCAAGACTGACCTCTTTGAGCAGAAGGTGGTCTTCTCTAGCTTTGGGCCCATCATGCGCTTCTCCACCACCACCCCCAGCTCAGGCCGGGCCCGGGCCCCATCCCCTGGAGACTATAAGTCTCCTCACCTCTCAGGGTCTGGGACCTCAGCAGGCACCCACAAGCGGATGCCCACCCTGAGTGCTGCCCCTGCGCCCGCGGAAGAGACCCCTGAGACAGGCGTGAAGGAGAAGAAGCACAAAGCCAGCAAGAGGAGCCGACATGGGCCAGGCCGTCCCAAGGGCAGCCGGAATGAGGAGGGTGTTGGGGCCCCAGCTACTCCCTCCCTGCCTGGTGCCCAACTGGCTGGCTTTACCGCCACTGCTGCCTCGCCCTTCTCAGGAGGTTCCCTGGTCAGCTCCGGCCTGGGTGGTCTGGCCTCCCGCACCTTTGGGCCTTCCGGAAGCCTGCCCAGCCTGAGCCTGGAGTCCCCCCTGCTAGGGGCAGGTCAGTGAGCCTGGGGGATGGTGGGCATTGAGGGCCCAGCCCGTCTAGCGATGGAACAGAGGGATAAGCACGTAGTTAGGAGGGAATGTGATAGAAGCTACTCCGAAGGACCGAGATACAGGATGGAAGTGATCGTCACCTCTGAGACACTCCTCCACACCCACCCTCTGCACGGTTGTGGCAGGAGATGGTGTTGGCTTGTCAGTAGGACATAAAAAGTTTGGTTGGGATATTAGAATAGCTGGGAATTCCCCAGGCCCGGGCAGGGCAGTCCAATAAGTAGTCATGTCGAGCAGACACCACCCAGGCGACAAGGGACATCTGTGCACGGAGGAGGTTAGACTGGGGCCAGGTCCAGGGAATGTTCTCCTTGGGGAGGGGCTCGGTGACTATCTGCTTCCCTCTGTGTCCTCGTGCCCGTAGGCATCTACACCAGTAATAAGGACCCCATCTCCCACGGCGGTGGAATGCTGCGGGCTGTCTGCAGCACCCCCCTCTCTTCCAGCCTGCTGGGGCCCCCTGGGACCTCTGCCTTGCCCCGCCTCAGCCGCTCCCCATTCACCAGCACCCTCCCCTCCTCTTCTGCTTCTATCTCCACCACTCAGGTGAGGACTTACCCCTGGGCTCCTCCATCCCTGGGCAGGGGGGCGGGTGCG